TTGGATGACATATAAGAGGAAATTGACACTAAAATGACTATGAAATGTTTATGTAGGACTTCAGCTAACGGTTTGTTTGTTTTTTTCTTTTCAAAATATCCCTGTAGTTAATTATAATAACAAAAGCATCTTTTCTAAACCTGGTTTACTTTCTACCTATAAGGCTGAAATTCTGTGCTAATTTATCTTTTAAATGTTCTAACGTGCTCCAGTCACAAGTGACCTTATTACAGTGGCACTTCCAATCAAGTGCTTTCATCTGTGCATGCTCCAGCATGGGCTGTTGTTTTCATTGCTGTTTTCACAGTTGCTAATTTGGTGAGTATTTTAGCCACGATATTGTGGTGACTAGCATTTGTGAGCCTATATCAATATTTCCTTTTAAATAAACTAGTAATTAAAGGGGGAAAAGGAGAAGATTAGAAAATACTTTCACTCAGTTACTAATAATATAGGAAGATTTTGTGAAATAATTTTGTTGGTAGTATTTATATAATCTCTGCAGAAGAAAGAAATGGCAGTTAGCTTCCCCAAAGATTATCACCTTAGAAATCCATGGGGCTTTTCTACTCTGTCCAAAAGGTTCACTAGAGTGTGAATTGACGCCATGGCAAAGGCTTTGGTTTTGAAGTAAGTCTATGGATCAATTTGGTAAATAGCCACATCTTTACTATGTTGAGTCTTTTAATCCATGAATATAGACTATTTTTTCAATCACTTGGGTCTTCATTGATATGCTTTAGCAGCATTTTGCAATTTTCAACATAAAAATGCTCTACTTGTTTGACATTTATATACATTTCATTTTCTTTAGAATCCCTGGTGGTGTATTGAGCTGCTGAGACGTTGGGAACTTGAAGCCCCCAGTCACTCCATAGGAGAAAGGTACTGCTTCAGAAATCCAAGGGCAACCTTCTACTGTCCTACAGGGTTGCATGAACTTTGATCAACTGGACTGCTGGGTATACGTTCATTGCTAGCATATGTTTGTCCTGACTTTGTATATTGACTCTGCTGCACTAATTTATTGAGACTTTTTGTATATTCCTTAGACTTTCTTATTGAGACAATCATGTCATTTGCCAATAATGGCAGTTTTATCTTTCTTTTCTATCTGTATGCCTTCTATATTTCTTGCTTTACTGTACTGGGTAGATGCAGTATTGTGATGTGTAAGATGGTGAGAATGAACCTCCTTGCCTTTGCTTTTATGAGGAAAGCAATCTTTCACATATTTCAAGCTCTTTAAATGTTTTTAAAATGTGAAAATCACATTTAAAAAATTAACCATCATAAGTGTACAACTTTTGGCAACCCAAATGTACTGATCTACTCTGGATATTTCATATAAATGGAATGACATACTACACAACCTTTTGTGCCTGGTCTTTTTCATTAAGTATATGGTTTTTGACATTCATTCATGTTGCAGTGTGTTATCAGTACTACCTTCCTTTTAATAACTGGGTAATATTCCATTGTATGTTATTATGTATCTTGTTTATACATTCTTCAATTGATGGATATTTGGGTTGTTTTCTACCTTTTTGCAATTTTGGATAAAGCTGCAATGAACATTTGTGTAAAATGTTTGAATTCTTCCCTTTAATTCAAGTCGGTATACAAGGGGTTTCAAAAAGCTCATGAAAAAAATGGAATTAAAAAAATAATGGAATTTTCCCACCAACTTTCTGAAATCCCTTTATATACTCGGGGATGGAATTGTTGGGCCATATGGTAATTTTATGAGGAACTGCCAAAACTTTACTAAAGTGGTGGCTACATATTTTATATTCCCATCTGCAATAGATTTCCCCCCCATACCTTTGCCAACACTTAAAAAGTATAGCCAACCCTGGGATCTTATTGTGGGTTTGATTTGCATTTGTCTAATGACACTTCACTGGGTTCATGTGGAACCTGTACATGGATCAAGAGGCACTAGTTTGAACAAAATAGTGCATGGTTTATAGTCAGAAAAGGTGTTAGAATTGTGTCCTGTCACCATATGAGTTCAGTCTGTATGCTGAGTAAATAATCTGAGAAGTTGGACTCTGAAGAACACAGCATTAAGATCACAGGAAAAGCCATTACTAACTTGTGACACAACCAGGCTTGTTAAAATTGAGCAAGATTTGCAGCACTTGCTGATGAAAACCAAGGACCTTTAGAATGGTTGCAGCTTGATGTAAAGAAAACAAAAGTTCTCACTCCTGGACCGATAGATAACACCATGATAAAGCATGAAAAGATTTAAGTTCCCAAGGGTTTCACCTCCTTTGGATCCATAATCAATGTTCACGGAAGCAGCAGTCAAGAAATCAATGATTTATTTATTGCACTGGGCAAATCTGCTGCACAAAGCATGTGTTGGAGAGTAAGTGTCACTTTAAAGGCCTAATGTGCCTCTGATCCAAACCATGGAATTTTCGACTGTCTCACAGGCATGGGGTGGTCAATAAGAAAGACCACAGAATTCATGCATTTGAATAATGGCTGAAAAAGATTGTAATACCATGGACTGCCAGAAAAACAAACATCTGTCTTGGAAAAAGGAGTGAGACTACTCTTTGGAAGGGTGGTGGGACTTCATTTCATCTACTTCGGATGTTAGGAGAAACCAGGTCCTAAGGACATCATGTTTGGAGTAGAGGGAAGTGAAAATGAGGAAGGACCTCAAGATGGACCGACACAGCAGTTCCAACAGGCTCAACATAATTTAGAGAATGGTGCAGGACCAGGTAATGTTTTTGTTGCTGACAATCCAACAATAAATGACTTGGAATCTTTTGCTTGTTGGCTAGTGTTTTACTACTGAATATAATGCTACCTTGTTTCCCCAAAAATAAGACAGTGTCAAAAAACAAATAAGACAGTGTCTTATATTAATTTCTACTCCCAAAGATGCGCTGGGTCTTTTCAGGGGATGTCTTATTTTTCCATGAAGAACACGGTGCACATTTATTGTTGAACAAAAAAAGGAAATTTATTACCTGTATACTGTACGGTAGTTGTCATCACAAACCAGCATAACCAGAAACTGTGAATCCTACAGTATCAAGAATTTCTTGTTACTACCATCATTTCCATGTACAACAATCTATGGAACATGTACTCATTTATTCAATGACAGCCATGTCATCGTCTTCTGGAACATCATCATAACAATCCAAACTCTTATTTTCGGGGGGATGCCTTATATTTCAGCGAGAGGCAAAACTGTAAGTAGGTCTTATTTTGGGGGGATGTCTTACTTTCAGGGAAACAGGGTAGATGTAAATGATAATTCCTCTCTAAACTTGAAGTTTTCATAAATGGAACCTAAATCTTGTCAAATTATTGATACAATCACTTTTCCTCTTTATACCATAATGATGGTGCGTTCTGTTGCTTTCAAATGTGGAGCCAGCCTTGTGTACTTGTAACAAACCCATTTTGTTATGGTGACTCAACAACAGAAATTTGCATATATTTTGTGAAGGGTTTTTGTTTAAAGTCATGCGACAGCTTCATCTTTTTATACAGGAATAATGAGTGTAGTTTCTCTTCGCGGGCTGCTGGGATTGTGTTGGCTCCATAACATGTATTGGAATGTTTGCTCTTCTCTTTTTAGAGGAGAAATTGTATATAATTTTCCCAGCGAAGCCATTTGGGCCAGTTGAATTTTTTCAGGAGCTTTGTACTAACAAATCTTTTTCTGAAATGTAGGTGAAAATCTTTGAATCATGGGTTATTAAAATTTTCCTTACATATGCTACCACAGCTGAGAAAAAAAGCTTAAATTGGACTTTATTTTTAAAAACAGCAGCTCTGTGAAAGACCTAATGAATGAAGACAAGCTGTAATTTCCATTACTGAAAATATATGAACCTGACATATCTGGCAAAAGACTTGTAACCAGAATGTGTGTTAAAAAAAAAAAAAAGGTAGAAAAAAACCATTTACCAAAGAACACATCACATACATGTGGATGGTGGTAAATAAGCATATAAAAAAGGATGTTCAATATCCTTTATTTGAAAAATGTAAAATTATAGCCACAATATTACCAGTACATTTAACAGAATAACAAAAACAAAGAAACATAAGAACCTGAGAACAAAATTACCATGATTCTGTTAATTATTAGTGAAGATGTGGAACTAGAATTTTCATTTCTGGTAGTACAATATGGTCCAATCACTGTGGAAAATGATTTTGCGGTTTATAATAAAGTCAAACATATTTATCATACAGTCCAGGACTCCTACTCCTATATATTTATCTAAGAGAAACAAAAGTCATATTCACATAAAAATTCATCCTCATTTGGGAATGGCAGCTTTGTTTACAACTGTAAAACACTAGAAACAAATCTGTTCGCTATTGACCTATGGGATGTCCCTTTTCTACAGAAGAGGAAACCTAAGTAAAAATATATCGTTGCATTAAGAGTTCCCTATTTTCTGTTCTTTCTTATAGAACTACCTCATTGCACTGTGGCTTTGCTACCTGCTGAAGTTGGCTGTGTAATCTGCTTTAGTCAAATTACAATGGCACAATAGCAAATGTACCGTTAGAAGCTTGCAAAGTGAGTTTAAGCAGTAAGTCTTACTCTTTTGCAGCTGGCAATGTTAGCCAAGTGAAGGAGAGAGCCCTCAACCCAGTGGTTCTCAACTTGTGGGTCGCCTGATTCATAACAGTACCAAAATGAAAGTGATGAAGTAGCAATGAAGATCATTTTATGATTGGGGGTCACAACATGAGGAACTGTATTGAAAGGGTCGCAACATTTGGAAGGTTGAGAACCACTGCCTCCACCAGCTCCCTTGAAGCCCAAACATGTGAATCCCATATACCTTCAGCAGAGGTGGCCAAACCATGAACCATGAGAATAAATCATGCAAACATGGAACAGTTGCTTTATAGGGCAGTCCTCTTAAAGTGTTAAAGTCATTTTTTTCAGAACATTTTTTCCAAAACAGTTTATTTAAGGTGAATAAAATGAAATAAACCACTTGTACATATATTTGTTGTTTTATTTACAAATTAACTTCATAAACAAACTATAATAAACATAATCAACCTACAAAGGAAGGTTCTTGTCTCCTATTACTTACATCTAGAAAAATAAATAATTTCAACTGAGAAATCAGGTCTTTTGCTTCCAGAGAAAGTGTACTGCATATACACCTCTTGTATATGTATAGGTCTAAATTGTGCTTAGTCCCTACACAGAGTGAGGACGGGGCACTGTTGTGTCTTTTACATAGAATTGTAAATAGTCTTTTAAAGTTCTACTGGTATGAAGTGAACTTCAAAAAAGCTTTTATAAATCTTACTATTCAGGTAACTCAAATTAATTATGGTGAATCTGTAGACATATACAGTACTAATCTGTAATTATACACATTTATGTTCAATGATTATTTACAGGGAGAAAGTTCAATGGTCAGAGTAAGTTCTACTCATATTCTTGAAAGAGAACCTTGTTCCTAATAAATATGACTCCTAACATTTCTGACATCAGCAGAATACATTCTCAATGCAAAACAAAACAATACCCAGTTATTTGACTTTTTGCTTTTTTCTTGCTTGAAATTGTTCTGTTTTGGTTTTGATAGATTTGATCAACATTGACAAAGCAGGGTCGACCGTCGTGTTCTGTGATTTCCTTTGCAGTTCACTCTCGCTCTTCTGTGAGGCCTGAGTACATTCTTGTCGTGTTTGTGCTCTCTGTCGAGCTTTCTCCTCAAGGATTTTTTCCATAGCTTTTGTTTTTTTGAAATTAGGATCTGAGGGATCCAAATTAAATAAGTGGGAAGTATACATTGCCTGAAATCGAGCATCCTGAACATTGACCTGCATACCAAAAGAAAAAAAATAGTGCAAAAATAGGCCAAAAGAGTTACTGACCATATTAAATAACATTCATTCATACATTCAAAAATTGTTTTTCTACAGACCATCAATGGATTTTTAAGGTCCATTCCTAGATTCTCACATACCAAGCACACTGTTCATGTGATGACAATCTACTTGAATGGGAACTACAGGGAATGACACTGGCTAATTCAGACAGTTAGTTGGAGACACAGTTTTTGAGGCGGTGCTTCCCCATGCTTACAATGAGAATGAAGCCTGTTTCTGGTCTACTGGAGTTTTATGTAAAACAATATAGAAATGTTAGTCTCATTCTGCATTCCGTTAAAATGTTAACTGTCAAAACCGTCAAAAATGAGTCTTTTTTGAGGTGACTGGCAGATCCTTCCCACCAGCTGTTCTGTGGGCGAGAGATGAGGCTGTGTACTCCCACACAAATGGAGTCTCAGAATCCCTAGGTCACTATAAGTTGAAATAAACTTGATAGCACTGGGTCTGGGAAAGATTAAGGTCTGGCAAGATAAAAGTTCCAGATTTAGCTTCAATGTTTCTACAATGACATTGTAGTTCCACATCTAAGACTACCTAAACTTTAGCCAGATTTCGAGGGTTGCCAAGCACAAGGGTGAATGATAAAAAGAAAGAGTAGTTTACTGCCAACCAGCACTACCACAGAAAATGTGAATCTAGAGATGGGTTGGTAGAATTACAACAATGAAAATGGTTTTCAAGCATGACTATTAGTGTAAAGGAAATGATAATATTAAAGGATTAGATTACCAAATCAAAACAACAACAACAACAACAAAAAACCCCACAATTCGCAAGCCTTAACATAACGCCTTGATATTAGATCTCCTTCTTTTTTACTTATTTTGAATTTATTCTGCTTAAAAAATATTTTCTGCTTTCTAATCTCTTGAGGTTTTCCTGTTTTATTTGGTCATTGTTGCTGGGTCCTTTTGTTGTCTTGGTTTTGTATGTTTTCTGTATAAGGAATTCAGATGCTTGGATCTACGAAGATAACAACTGGCTTAATAATTAAAAGGAAGAAAATATTCCAGTTGATTGTGGTAATGATGGCACAACCCTTCTTAATATGATTGACCTATTGAATTTTATGATATTAATTAGATCATAATAAAACTATTAAAAAAAACTAAATAAAAAACAATTTACTGAAGAGTTCAGTAGAATTTACTCACATAAATAAACTAGTGCTACAGAGTATCCTCAAAGTTCTACATCTGACTTCGAAGTTAGCTGTATGCTCCTTTCTTTGAGCAAATTCAAAATGACCCTTGGGTTTATCCAAGATAATGGATGTCATTCAGTAGCTCTTGAAAGTGTAAGTATTGTCTAAATGGCTCAAGCTAATACACAGGTTTGCAGCCATTAGGAGTACAGACTCCGTAAGAAGGGAAATAAGTGAGAAACGGACACGAGGCAGCAGTTCAAACGTTTGCTGGTCATCTACAGCGATTGTGAGGCCAGCTTGCTATTCCTTGTTGCTACAGGTGGTACTGAGTCAGTTCGACTCAAGACCCCGTGTTCAGCAGCATGAAACACTGCCACGTCCTGCTCCACCCTCACAACTGTTGTGCTTGAGCCCTGTGTTGCAGCCATTGTGTCAATCCATCTTGCTGAGACTCTTCCTTTTTGATGCCCCTCTGCTTTACCCTCTGCTATGCCTTAGTTGGGTGTAATTGTGCATACTTCCCTAACATGGCATCACACAGAAGGTGACTGATTCTAACATTAAAATGTTTGGTGTAACACTGATTTAAACCACTCTGAAGATCAGTTGGCTATGATGGGCTGAGCAAAACCTGGTGATTTGGCCCCAACATGAACCCTCTCTAGGACACTACTCAGTGTAACTTAAAACTTTTCTCAATTTTTGTCTAAAGTGCTGATTTCAGACTAAATCTTACTTTAAGAAGTTAATTATTTATGCCCCTGATGTTACCTCAAAGTCATCCTCTAATAATTCCTTCTTTTTCATAAGCTGTTTTTTCTTCTTTTTGCTCAGGTTCTGGTGTTCCACAATCTTGTTGTAATTGAAATGTTTCTTGCTATCCTCATCTTCCTCATCCATCATAAGCAAAGCCATTTCAGCCTGCGGAGAAAAACACACAAGATTCTCGTACCCCTAAGAAGTAACGTAGTCTAGGGAAAAAACCTCCATCACCAACCAATGCTTCAGGGTGACATCTATCATCTGTAATCTGAAAGCAGGAGAGGAATGAAGACTTACGTTTAAAAACACCACACTTCACTGAGTGCAAACGGTTACTGGGCAGCAGGAACAAGAGTACTCATGTAAGCAATGATATTAAATCTAACAAATCTGTCATATTTTGTGGTATATTCAGCAAAATCTCCAAACATGTAATTCCACAAGAGATTTATTGGATTTACTTTTTCAATATTGATACAGTTCTAACAAGGCAAAATACTAAATCTAACATACCTACATACCTGGGTTTTTTGACTATGGGATTCTACATGAAATCTTTGACTCAGGAAAACAATCATGTACACCGTAAAAAACATGCTCACCGGCACCTGTCAATCTTCTATTAGTTTAGGGAAAAATATATATAATGAAAAAAATTATGCATGGATTTCATTTTGTTTTTTGAGGGACAGGAAAGGGGGTGGTCACCAAAGTAAACATGCACTAACTTGTTATATCTGAACAGGATGCACTAAGACATTGGTTTGAAAAGAGCCCCTATACATAAGCAAGATAAATTATGCTAAAATTGAAGTAATAACAAATATCAAATTTATGGTGACGCTTAGGTGGAAGAATATTGAAATCACTGATGCTTTATGAAAAATTTATTAGGACAATGCCCAAAGGAGATTAATAGTCTACAAATGGCTAGCATGTTTTAAGAAAGAACAAAATAATGCTGAAAATGAATCCTGCAGTGGGAGACGGCCCCCATCAATCTGCAAGGAAACAATTTTGTCTTGCTCTAGGCAAAGAGACCTAATGATTAACAACAGCACAGATATCTCGATTGGTTCGATTTATATAATTGTGACTGAAAAATCAAAGTTGAGCAAATTTTCTATTGCATTGGTGCCCAAAACGATTGCACCTACAAGAGAGGAGTTCTCAAAGGGCTACCAAGAGATGGAAGTAGCCCAGTTAAAGCAAAATTGAACCAGCCAAGAGTAAAAGTTATGGCAACAGTTTTGTGGAATACTGTCTTTCTGGATGACCTAAGAGTTAGCCAAGTCTTTAGCATAAAAATGTCCAGCAAAACTTCACCAGAGTCCTTCACCACTACTGCTAGTTACCCAAGGGCAGTTTTGTCAAACTTTTGATTGGAAATTATTAGGTATTCACACCCTAATTGAGCACCTTCTGATTTATTTTGTTTCCTAATCTTAAGACCTCTTTAAAGGGCACTAGTTTTTATTCAGTTAATAATGTAAAAAGAACTGTACTGACATTAGTAAGTTCCCAGAACCCTTAGTTCTTCAGAGATGAAGTAAATGGGAATCATTGTTTGACATTATGATTAGAATAAAATTATTAGGGAAAAAAAATGTCTTGACATTAATGGTTGAGAAGTACAATTTCTATTTCTTATTTTATCTTTTAATTCCATTTTCCATAAAATTTTTGAAGTAGTCTTGTATTACCACTTTAATTTCCTTTCCCTTCTATCACTGGTATGTACAGCTGGTTTTCTATTTAGAAGCAGTTTCTAAAAAGAACAATTTTACTTTTCTTTGAAATGGATTTATGAGCATTTTACATATATATTGAGTGGAGCATAGAAAGTATTAAGATGCAGGTGTTAGACACTATTCATGTTAAACACTAACTGAATATCCGCCAGTTTTACAATAATGTTGACTCAAGTTCTTGTTTCAGCAAAAACAACAACAAAAACAACCCTGTCTTAAGGATCTTTGGGGTTACTAAAGTACAAGGCTCACTGCATTTCTAAGAAACATTTTAATACTGGACATATTTACCATATATACTCGAGTATAAGCCGACCCAAATATCAGCCGAGGCACCTAATTTTAGCACAAAAACTGCATGAAAAATGTGCTGAAAAACTTGGCTTATATACGAGTATATACAGTATGTTGTTTGCAATAATAAAGAGAGGAATTAGCAATTAACAAGTTTAAAGTCTATAATACAGGATAGACTCAGATCGAATTAAACTTTACAGGGATGTTATTTTAATGGCTTTCATAATGGTATTTTGTGTCTCCATTAAGGAGCTGTGGTGGCTTAGTGGTTACGAGTTGGGCTGCAATCTGCATGGTCACCAGTTCAAAGCCACCAGCAGCATTGTAGGAGAAAGACTGGCTTTCAATTCTGGTAAACAGTCCCGGTCTTGGAAACCCACAAGGGGTCGCTATGAGTCAACAGTGACTTGATGGCAGCAAGTTTTGGTCTCCATTATATTAAGGGCTTTTAATTATTATGTATACTCTTCATCATAAAGAAACATGCTGTAGGTATGAAATCAGTTCTAACTTTGTACTAGTTGGAAAAGTTCGTTTTGTAATAAGATATTACTTAAAAGTTAATAAGCTTAGGGTGTCTTATAAAATCATTATTGAAATCAGCTATTTTTTTAATCAAGGATCCCTGAAGCATGTAAAAATGATCACTTTTTACCTTTTGTTTTTCTATTTCAGTTTCTTCCTCTGGAGAAGCGCCATCTTTTGCAGATTCCACTGATTTCTTCTTTATACCTGACAGAAACCACCAGTATCAGAGGGTTGGAAACTTACAGGACTAGGGACAAAATTACAGGCTATCGAGAAATTACCTTAGTCAATGGACAGAACCTAAGGAGAAGACAGTGGAGAAGTGAATGGCATAAACACATTGCTCTGCGATGAGAAGACTGACAATCATAAAGAAGAAAACATTTCTGAAATTAACGCATAAAAACTTAAGATCATTTCAATAGATAAGGAATCATCATTTGATAAAGTTCAATACCTATTCAGGATAAAATACATAAATTTAAAGAAATTCTACCTTTCCTTCTATTTTACTATTCCTTCTCAGATTACTTATTGGGCTTATTCCTACCTGCTCCAGTAACACAGAATAACAGCCTATTTGTAGGCTTTACCCTCCCTTAGGGCTCAGTCCTATACCTGCTTATAAATGCCTTCTACATTTGTAAATCAATGTGCAAAATTCTCAGGTTTATATTACTCCTTTTGGAAAAACCGTTTTAGGCCAAATATAAGCATTTACTCCCAGGAAGTATTCTGAAATCAAATGTATAAGTTAATTTCACCTGTTCCCCATCCCTTAAAACTTCTGATCCTAACTTTTCACAGAGCTTATATACAATTAAAGTGTATATAAGAAACAGATTACCCCAAACCATCCAATCATTTAACTTACTATTCTACTTCTATTCTGAGATCTGTAATCTGACCAGGCTTCACTGACATGCTAAACGGAGCACTTTGGAATGAGAAAAAGGAAACGCTAATGCTTCACATTTCTCTACTATACACTTGGATGGCTGAAATCAGAGGATAAAATCCAACATGTAGAAATGACTACTCAGGTATGATCAAAAGCCGAATATGCTAAGTTTCCATTTCCCTGTCCAATTCTCAAGAATTTCTCAACTTCTATTCATCTTGATCTCTTTTTCATCAATAAAATGTCAGTGCTTAAAAGCTACAAGAACCAGGAAATAATTTTGAGCAATTTTGACTTTTCTGTTGAGCACTAGTCTGGTCTAGTAGTCACGAGGGACAAGAAGCATAGGAACTTTGGAAAACCCTTCTCTTTACGATGCCAGCTTGAAGCTGCTCCAGGAGCAAGTCTGTTGGGGCTGCTGTGTGTGGTATAACGATCAGGGGAAGACAAAATGCATGTGAACAAGTGGAAAATGCTTACAGTAGTCTTTGCGAGGACTTGTCCGTGTACAGCGTGGGCCTCATCATACACATTTACACATACCAAAAAAATCTACAAATGAAAGCCCTGAAGAATGGGTGGCAGTGGTGCATAAGCAATGGAAAAAAGGCTCCATGGATACAGGAAACAAGCTTTCACATCATGTAGAGATTCATGGAAAATGGGAAGTGAAAAGCTGGCTTTTAGTTATAAATTCAAGAGAAAATGACACAACTGTTTTTATGTATTTGGGCAGAAAGAGCTTTTGTACTAAAATCCATATATAAATCTAAAAAATAGAATTATACACACAAACACAAATTCATTTCACACTTTCAATTCTTCATAGTGCTTGCAAAGATGTTCTTGGAGTGGATATGCTTCATAGATATATATCAATGAAAGCACACAACATACCTATTTCCTCTTTCTATTTATACTCACTGTCTTAAGAGAATCAATTTGGTTTTCTAGAAGGCTATTTCCTAGAAAAAACCCAGTAAACTGTTAAATTAACCTTGTCACCAGGCGTCTTCTACAAAGAAATTCCTCCTGTATATATACAGGGACATGCTGATTCTTCCCAATCTAATCAATGATTACCCCCACAGGACAGATCTGCGTATCACCCAATATGTGAATGATACAAATTCTATGTATTTTTTTAAAACTAGCATATCATTTTCCCCACACGTTAGGTTTTTTTCCTCTTTGTATTGTGATGTAAAATGACAAATATGACTGGCTTACCCATTTTCTTAACTTCTTCAGCAAAGTATGGATCATTCAAATCCACATCTGAGGGTAATTCATCTTCACTGGTCTCATTAGCAAGACTCTTAATATTGAATGCAAAAATAAACACATTTTCATTCAAAGAATTATACTAAAATTGCCGTCAAGTCTACTCCAACTCATAGCAGCCTTATAGGGTCAATAATAGGCTATATAATACCAGATAAGTCAATCAGTTTTTGGTATCTATAAAACAATAGAGCTAGACTTGAATTAATCATTTAAGTTCCCACAAGTTCTAACATTCTGTGATTATCAGTGATACTGTCTTAAGGTAATGCCTCTATTAACATTTCAGTAACAAAATAAACAGTATTTTCAATGATGAAAACTGCAGGTAGTCTCTGCTATTACTGGGGACTAATTCTGAAAAAGGTATCCACTGAATGATGGAAGTCCAACCAAATTTTCCACAGATACAATATTAACTCAGAGGAAACATCCTTTGGGGAGAAAAGGGAATTACAAGTTTTTATATCAATTGCCACATTTTTTTTTCCAATTTAACAGAAGCTGGCTATGTAAAATTTGCTAATAATTAGCTAATAATAAAAGCAGTTTAGACTGGACAGTACAGCAACTAATCAAATAAATTTTATTTAGTAACAGTATTATAATATTTTAAATTTTACAAAGGCTAACTAGAAAGTGAAATATTTAATAAGATGGTAAGAGATTTATATAATAAAGAAAAGTGGAAAATCAGGATATAGTATTAAGATTATAAAGTACATAGAAGAAGCTCATTTATGCTAAAAAATGTCTACGTGCATGTAGAAGTTCAAGTAGAAAGTAAAAAACGTATACACACTGGTCTTCTGCAAAAGCAAAGAATAGCATCATACTTTTTCCTTCTGAATAAAAACCAGTGTTTCATTTCAGCAGTACCTGAAGTAAAGCATTGGAGCTCGGTGGTTGAAGCGGTTTGGGCTCTTTCCAGGCTCTGTGTATTGTCACGTGGCCTTGCAGAAATACTTACACTGTTTGCCTCTTACTTTCTTTTCACAATTCTGGTAGCACAGGGTACCCCATGTAATGAATACCAAGAGACTGATACCTTCTGATTCATGGCGATCAGTAATTATATGGTCATAAGTATCACTGATACCTTTTGTTTCTTTTTCAGTCTTTTTTTCTCTTTCTTCTTCTCTAAAAATTGTTCCCAAGGGGTCAGCTTATCCTTTCCTTCCAATTTATTTTTGACCATCTCTTCCGCACTTTCTTTAAGGCCTAAAGAAAAATACACAGAGATTAGTTAACAATAATAAATTCATAAGCAAATGCAATTTGCTATTTCCACTTTAATAGTAAAAATGTATATTTTACTTTTTACATTTTAGAGGACAGGGTTGGGTTGAGATAGGAGGACATCAAATATTTGGAAGATACAAAATCCATTAAATAATCCAATTATTTAGAATTTTCTTTGAAAAAGACTTGGGTGATCAAGATCACCTTCCTAGACAGATTTTAAATCTTAGAAATCAAAAACAATGCTAAGAAAAATCAAAACACAATGCTAAGGAGATCGTACTTCACCTTTTTTCTGACAAAGATATGAAACTCAGAGAAGTTTAGCACATTTGGAATTTGAACTCTTAGTTTTCTTTCTTTCATACTATTCCCAGATACATCTAAATTGCTGGTACGACTGCTGTGTATGCCACAAAATAAAATCTAAACGCCAGAAACAAAAGCGAAAACAGAAAAGCAAACTAGTTTGAAACAGCTGCAATAGATGATCTCTAAGGTCCTTTCTCTGACTTTTAAGTCAATACTTAATCTCCAAAATGTCATGATTTAGGAAAGTATGAAATTATATGCACATTCAAGGTTCTGTAGATTTGTTTATATGATGTATTGCTGGTGGAATCTCTGATTTACTGGATGTCAAATCAGAAACACAATTCTGAAATAAAAAATGTTTCTTATGAGAAAGACATAATCCATCTTAATAAACAATTTTCAGGAAAAATGTGGAGTATGCCAAACCATTTGCAGATCATTGACTGAATCTAGAGGTTTTTAAAAAATGTCTAGAAAATATGGAGGATCCTTATATTAACATATAGCATACTTTTAATTCACTTTTGTCCCATATTTTGGAGAAAGCAGTAAATCTTGATTTCAAATAATGAAATAAATCCATTTAAATATGACTATTGGTTAGTACCTAATCAATACATGTTCATTTGTGAGTATACCACTATTGTATCTAAGAATTAATGTTTAGATTGATAATCTTCAGGATATTCTATAGTTTTCTCATGTTTTAAGATATGATTACTTTGAAAGATTAAAAATGAAAAATTTAAATTAAAATTTACCACCCACACCCCTCCCAATAAAAAAAGTACTTTCTGGTAAATTTTGATGCTTGAAATGTAAAATGCTTCCTCGACCTCTGCTAGATGACAAAGAAGGTCCTGTATTATTGGCTTTAGGTGGCTAGAACACTGGCATTAGATGTGCCTTCATCTTTATAAACATTTATGCCGCATGAGTAGGTCTTGACCTTTCTGAAGGAGGACTTGATAAAGCTTTGGACTCTCTTCCCTGGAACACTGCAGGACTGGGGGTGGAAAACAACCCCCAAAGCTTGCATACAGTGTGCAGGAGCTTGGACTTATGGGTACCCAAATGCTTATTTCTGTGTAAGAAAGGATTCAAGAGCCTTAGAGCAGGCAGCTCTACAGAAGCTGTAGAATCTAGGGCAGACTGGAGTCAATCTTCCATCATTTCTAACTGACGTTTGTAGCTTCTCTGTGAAGGATTCTCACTTTGAGCAACACTTTCATTCTGGATCACCTAATTCTTTCTTGTGATGATGATCCTGCTTAACACGATCTCTGGTCTCTCACTCCTGATGCTAGTTGCTGGCATTGAGTTGGCTTCAACTTATAGCAACCCTATATACACTAGAACGAAACACAGTCTGGCCCTACACCAGTAGCACTATGTCAGTAGCACGCCCGAATTATGACACACACACCCCCCCAAAAAATCTGTCGATTGTTAAATACAGTTGCTCCTGTGGAGCAAGATCAGCCCTTGTTTAGGACTGCTGTTCTGGATGGTGATTAGATGAGATGCTATTTCAGAAAAGAAGGATGATTCAATGTGTATCACAGGAATGTTAGTTAGTTCACGTGGTAGTCTACTTTTCCATGCTAGAAATTTCATTTGTGCACACTTTTTCACTCAACCAGACCAAAAACAACTTTAAGGTAACCCTTTGTATTATATAATGTTTATGAGCACAGTGCCATAAACAAAATGATTACTTAATAAATACTCAATTGATCTGTCTTGAAGTAAGGATTCTTATTTCAAGTCAACTGTTTGATTTGTCATGTTTGAAAATGCATCAAAACTTTATGATCTAAGTAAATGGTCTTTATCTCAAAGTGGCTCATGTGATTACAGCTTATTCTCAGGAAATAACTGTTTTTTCGGGGGGGGGGGTTTAGTTTGTTTATAATAAGAAATAGCATCTTCAGTTAAATATAATCTATAATTTTTTGCCTGGCTCTCACTAAATACACCAAAACAGTACTCTGACAAACACATTACAATGAATTATTAACATGCCACCAGGGTAACTTACACTGCTTTGCTTTCACTGTCAATCATGAAGTCATTTACATTTCCTGCCACAGTTTTTTATGTTCTAAGTTCTCAAAAATATGCCCATCTCAGCAGCTTCTTGGCATAAGCACAAAAACATTTTTCAGAGAAAGTTATAGCCTCATTTGAGAGCAGTAGCCAACGTGACTAAAAATTTAAAGTTAGTTAAAAGCAACTTAAACGACGGGGCAAAAAACCCTTTCAACGTCAACCATGATTGTGGCAATAGTACTACTTTAAACATTACCCATTCAAAGTATTCAAGGTAGTTTGCACATATATAAAAACACATAAATCTTTTTTTTCTCTCCCCAAAATAAGAATAGACATTCCATCTGGTCTTTCTTTTCTAAAATATATGAAAAGTCTTCAAAGGGCAAGACAAGAATAACTTTTAACTAGTTATTATGATTCATTTTGTTTATAAAAACAGAACACGTTTTAAGATTTTTGGAATAAGCAAAAACTGGCACTTTTTATTTCAATGAGGACTTAGAATCCACTAAGAATATTTATGGACATCAAGGGTATAATCTTTTTTTTATAGTTGTTATGAGTCTAACCCATGTAACTCTTCAATTCCAAAAGTAGCTTTTAAAAATATAAATTACCACCACCAAAAACAAAGACAAAAACCCAAATGCATTATCCTTAAATCCAACTCATTGCAACTTCATGCATTACCAGGTAGAAATGCTCTTAAATCTCCACTACCACCAACAAAACACCTAACTTAGAATCTACCCTGGGCACAAGTTCTTCAGAGAAAAGCCACAGGTCTGGAGAAATAGTGACATCAAAGGCACTTCTTCACAGTTGGTCACTATCCTCAAAGGCATGGAAAGGAGGAGAGACACATTTACTCATATGAGTATAACTGGGACTGTTGTTAATGTTAGTGCCTGTCAAGTCAATTCTGACTCAAGGCAACCCCAGGTGTGCCCACAACTGCTTCACAGGGGTTTCATGGCTGTTGAAGTTTTAGGTAGAAGATTGCTCAAGTCTCTTGTTCAGGTCTGTTTTCCCAGGTGGCTTTAGGTGATTCAAACTGCCAAGCTCTTGGCTCGCAGTTTAGCACTTAACTGTTTGCATCGCCCTGGGAATCCAATAATTGGGATACTTTATCCCATATGAATAATGGGGATCTGTGCCTGTTATTTTTTTTCCTATAGTAGGGACAGGCAATTATGTACCTGGGCATCTGTAAAGTTTGTAGTACAAGCTCAAAACTATCAGTAACTTTTACAAGAAAAAGGAAATTTTCAATGATGTGTACTGTGCCTTGGCTCTCAAAAAAACAACAAAACAAACAAAACAATGCTCCAATTCATGCCACTGAGTTGATTCTAACCTCTTATGTCTCTCTCTTCAGATCTTACAATACCAAATTCTTCTTCTCTCTGCCACTATCAGTTACAATTTTACATTTATTTGGTTTAAAACAATTAATACTTATTTTCCTTACTAGATTGCAAGCACCATGAGTTTAGAGGTCACAGATGTTTTGTTTTTGTTCAGTAAGAAAACCCTAGTGACTTGGAGGCCTAGCATATAACACATTCTCAATAAATTTCTGCTGAAAGGACAAATGAAGGTTAAAATGAATCAAATTTATTCCTGATCCAGTAGTAAGAAGGCCACAATGCAGTTAAAAACAAACAAAACAGAAACTAATTTTAGAAACAGTAACAAACAGTGCCAACCAGGGCCAAACAAATCCTCCTTTGGGTACACTTAATAGCTCATTAGAATACTGTTATATTTACTACCTGGAAACAATTCCCAACCCCCAAACCCACTGCTATTGAGTCTAACTCACAGAGTTTTTGAGACTGTTAATCTTTATAAGAACAGATAGTCTCATCTCTTGCCCTTAGAGAGACTGTTAGGTTTAAACTGCTGATCCTGTGTCATCTGATCTTCTTCCATGGGCAGCCCATGTGGTTCTGAGCAAGATTAAGTCCTTGGTAGCTTCTACCGTGATGTTACCGACTGACCCATTTGTGGATTTTTCTTTTCTTTACACTAAGGTGTAATTCATATTAAATAAAGGCTTCAATCCTAGATCATCAGCAAGTGCTTCAAGTCCCCCTCACTTTCAGCAACCAAGGTTGTGTCATTTGCATATCAAAAATTGCTAATACACCTCTCTCCAATCCTGATGCCAAGTGTTTCCTCATATAGTCCAGCTTCTCAGATTATTCGCTCAGCATAGACTAAATATAGTGACGTGATACAACCTTAACAACACCTTTTACAATTTTAAATCATGCAGAATATTCCCTTGTTCTCTTTGCCTATCTTGTGATCCATGTGCAGGGTCTGCATCAGCACAATTAACTGGTCTGGAGTTCATATTCTTCTCAGTGCCACCCATAATTTGCTATGGCTCACAAAGCATTTGCGCAGTCAATAACACAGTATAAGCATCTTTCTGGCATTCTCTTCTTTTAGACAAGAGCCATTCCATGTTAAAAATGATATCACCTGTTCCAGTTTTTCAAATCAGCCTGAACTTTTGGTAGCTCTCTGTTGATATACTTACTACTACAACCGGTGTTGAAAAATCTTCAGCAAACTTTTACTTGCATGAGATATCTTTGACAATGTTTGATATGGTTGTACAAACAATGTTTGATAATTTGGGTACAAATATGGATCTCTTGCCGCTACTTGGAATGGTAGCTGTCTTCCTTAGCTGCTGAAGCACTTCAATTAGTAATCAGTCAGTTCCTGAAGTCTTGGGTTTGGCTAATGCTTTCTGAGCAGCTTGTACTTCTTCCTTCAGTATCATCAGTTCTTGATCATATGCTACCTCTTAAAATGGTTCAATGTCAACTATTTCTTTCCACTAAGGACAAATTTAGGGGCCCTACTACCTGGATGAAGCACACTATCAAAGATTTTAAAACCACATTAATTAGAAGACAAAAGAGAGACTGGGACCTCAAAAAAATAGGACCATATGTGCATCAAAAGAATAAAAAAGGAGCCCACAGACTGAGAAGTAGGTTTTAGAAATAATATATCAGACAAGGGATTAATCTCTAAATTAATATACAGACAACTACAACATCAAAGCAAGAGAACGGCAAATTATCCAGTTAAAAATGGGTAGATAATATGAAGAGACAGTTCACCAGAGGACACATCCAGGTGACCAACAAACACAGAAAGGAATGTTCATGACCATCAGTAATTAGAGAGGGGCACATAAAAACAGCAATGAGATACCATCTTCCTCTCACCCTGACAGCAACTTTCAAAAATTAAAATAAATACTGGATAGAGTGTGGAGAAATTAGGACTCTCATACTGCTGGTGGGACTGTAAAATTTTACAATTCCTGTGGAAAGAGGTATGGTGCTTCCTCACGAACTATGAATAGAAATACCATATGACCAAGCATTTGGTATACAGCCTAAAGAAATAAGAGCCATAACACGAACAGACATATGAAAACATCTTTTGTTCATTGTAGTATTAGTCACAACAGCAAATCAATGAAAACAACCCAAATGTCCATCAATGGAAGAATGGAAAAATAACCTTTGGTACATACAATAGAATACTACCCAACATTAAAAGATAGCAATGAATCTGCAAAACGTTTTATGACAGGGATGAGACTGGAGGATATTATATTGAGTAAAATTAGTCAAAAACAAAGCGACAACAAAAAAATGAGAACCTAATGTCGGGGTTTAAGTGGAGAGAAAATGTTTTGAGAAACGATGTACAAAAGCGCTTTACACAATTGATGTGTGTATGGATTGGGATAACAGTTGTATGAGCCCCTAATAAAATGTTAAAAAAAAAACAAAAAACAAACAAACAAAAAAACCCCCAAGATATATTCACCATACAAATAAAATAGATATTTGAGTAGATATTTCAAGAAGCCTTATGATTAAATAATAGACAAATAAGACTAACCACAGGCTCTAGGACCTGATATCAGAAGGACTACTTAGTTAAGCCAGGCTGCCACCACCAACAGTTCTGATAAGATCACAAAAGAAGGTGTGAGACAGAGTAGGAAAGAAATATAAACAACATTCAAAATCCTTTAAAAAAACCAGATTTACTAGTCTGATAGAGACTAGTGGAACTTCTGAGACTCTCAAAAGTAAGTGCCTTTACCAGCAGTTCTCTACCTCTGTGTTGCGACCCCTTTGGGGGTTGGATGACCCTTTCACAGGGGTCGCCCCATTCATAACAGTAGCAAAATTACAGTTATGAAGTAGCAACGAAAACAATTTGATGGTTGCGGGGTCACCACACCATGAGGCACTGTATTGAAGGGTCACGGCATTAGGAAGGTTGAGAATCACTGCTCTAGACACTCTTCAAACCCGGAACTGAAACCACCCCTGGAAATCACGTTTCAACCACACAATGGACAAGTCAATTAAGGGACTATAGATGGCACCAGGAGCTCAGATCAAAAGCACAGCATTCTCCTCAAAACAAACTTCCTGAAGCAGGAAGGGCAAGAAAGATGGGCAAATTGGGAAAAGGGAACTGAGGCTGGAGGTTGGAAGAGTGCTCTTACATTGAAGGGATAGCAACTCATGTCATGAAATAAAATGTCTATAATTTATTGAATGGGAAACTCGTTTGCTCTGTAAACTTCCAAATTACAATAAAATGCTTCCCTGAAAAAGACAAAAACCCCAAAAGGACAGTTATTATTGTATGTGACCACTGTTGTAATCCTCACTGCCACCAAAAACCCCCAAACCACATGCTGTTAATCTTTCCTTCATAAAATGTCTGCAACATCCTAAAATGAAGGAAAACAAGCAGATATGTAGTGAATAATTCTTACCTGGAACCCACTTAATTTCCATTTCCATATCATTTTCTTTGCCTTTCTTTTCTTTTTCTTGAATAACTTGCAAGAGCTGTCTATATTTGGCAATTTGTTCTTCATCATCCTTCGGGTTTTTCTTTGTCTTCCCATCTTCTTCCACATCGTCACCTAACAATGACAAAAAAGATCTATTTAATCCACAGAGTGAACGCACTTCTAACTAGTGCTTAGAGCTCAGGGCCACTCTAGCAACCATCTAGAAGTTGCCTTTACGTGTATTGCAGCTAAAATATTGTCATCAAACAAATTTCTTAATAGTAAATTATTCAAGTGAAGGACTTACGTGTTGCTTAAATTAGTTCCATAATAAAATAAAAATAGTTGCACTATAAACTAGAAGCATCTTAGCAGTATGCCTGGAGATTTTTCTTTTATCAAAATTCTTATTTCCTCCCCCCCCCCC